AATAAAAATAATGTTAAGCACGTCTTAGAATCCCTTGCATCAACATTTTGTCTCAAAGTTTGAAATTATTCACGATTAATTTTAATGAGTAGGTAGCCATAGTTGAACTTTATTTAAAATATTGACGCAGGCAAACGGATTTCTCATAATTGGAGCTCTCAATAAAACCTTTTTTTTAAGATTGCGAAAGAAACAATAAGTTAAAAAAAAGGAAACCGACCGGACGTATCTTAGGACGTGCACAAAATTTTATGCAAAGGAGACTAAATGTTTGTGTTTTTACTGAAGAACGACAGTTAGAACAATTTATTAAAACTAATTTTATTTCTGTTGGTCGAATTAATTCAACTAGAATATAAACAATTTAGTTTACATATTTCGATGTCATTTATAGCCTTCGGTATGAGTTTGTATGTGTTTTTTATGTTATTTTTACTAGAAAATGATGCATTGTACGAAATAACTCAAGAGAACGTTTTTGTTTAGAATCAAACACGCAATGAACGGGTAAAATTATTTTTTTGATAGATCAAAGGTGCAAAATTTTCTTCATTAAAAATTTCGATTTATATGGTCCAAAAAAATGTTTCGTTCAACGGAAGCATGGTCATTCGATTGCTATTCACACCTGCAAAATTTTATTAAAATATCAAGCGGTTTTGGTTATATTAATAAATTTTTATGTTCTTTAATAAAACTTGTACACTCTATATTTTTGTAACGACGCTCATTTAAGAACCTTTGTTTATTTGAACATTTGATCTTTAAATAATGCTAGCCATCACCTCCTGACGTTTAAGAGTACTTTTGCGTCATCCTTTATACAGAGTATAACGATGTGCAAGTATTTTTAGGGAGTGTTTAGAATGCAATTTTATAGGGTGTTTTTCTAAACGCTGATTTTGTTTTTTCCCGGCAAAGAATTGTGTTTTTCCTATTTCCAAAGGCTTAAACACACATATTTTAACTTGGGTATAAATTCACAACTGGTTGAAAGTTGCATGGTACAGAATGTCCCAACGATAGAGGAAAGTAAGTTTACGCTTAACCAGTATTATTTATTTCAAAATGTTCATCGTCATTTTGTAAAGAAACTAAACGGACATATTTTTAAATTTTCACAATTATTCAGTATTTATTAGAGTGCCTCAGAAAAGTTGCAGCACAGAAAACAAATTTCTAATGGAACACATGAAGAATTTTATTTTATTTTTGAATTGCTATGTAATTTTCAATCTTTTTTGTTATTCAGCTTTAGCGACGAAAATTCGCATTATCATGGTGTTTATAAATCGAAAATTTCTCCGCCGTTTTTATACACAAAATTTTGAGATTTGGTAGGAGACAGGACTAATAATAATATTCATTTAATTTAAAGTATTTTGGAACTCAAAAATTTGACTTTTTTAAATGGCAGATCCCGTATATTATTAGTGTTATTTATTCAGGATAAAAAACCTTTCATTTGGGCTGAATACTTCCTATATTTATTTGTAATCATTTACGACAAAAATTCTACTATAACATTGTATTGTGTTTTTCACAAACATTTGCTTAAATAATTAACAATTAGCATTTATTCACAATAATAATATAATCCTGATTTGAGAGTAATTTAACAATATTTAGTGGAAAAGAATGCCTTAAAACACAATAACAATAACAGAAATAGCCAAATACAGCGGAAAAAATTAGACAAGTTTAATTCAAGAGATCCATCAATTTTTTATAATCTAAGCGTTTGTTTAGATAAATTTGTTCCAAATCAAAATCAATTCCTGGGCTTCA